TTTTTTCTTTTTTTTCTTTTTTCTTTCTTGACAAGAGGCCAGGATTTTTAGAACTTTGCAGGAATCAGAATCCGGTGGTTGTTAATCGTTTTAAAACTGGCGATCGATTCAATTTTAGGTGCACACGAAGTAAGCAAGTTTAGTTAGGTGAGATTGAGGAGGCCACAGTCACAATCTAGTTGAGGCACTACGTTGGGGCCAAATTAGGGCATGCACATTTCCAACTTCAGTTTGCTAACACTTGGAGCTGTAGAACTTTGAAACATGCAGTCGTTGAATACCAGTTCTGGTCTTGAAGTTTCAACATCCAGATTCATGGTCTGTTGGGGATGCTCATTTGTTTGCAATACCAACTGTGCGAAGAGAGTGCTTGGTGTGCTGATACGTAGCCAATTGTTTAAACGACGTGTTTTCTCACCCTGATTTCTCCAATGAAACATACAGATGCGATTCGTGTAGACAGATATCTGTTGGAGGATGTGCGGATAACGCTGCGGAGCATCGTGGGGTTACAACTGCCATCGTCCATTTTTTTATGTCTACAATCACGAATAACTTAGAAGCTGTTTACCTAAAATACAAGGAGATCGGACGTTTGCGTGAACCCTGGCAGCGCCAACAACTGGACCAAGGGCCAGAATCTGCTCCTGGAAGATACAAATGTCGAAAGAATCTACATGATCCAATGTCATGGAATGCAAATATCCAAACAACTTTAATAATATCAGCTCCGGAGTGTAAAGTGCCTGAACCTCAGGAGCTGAAACTAGCTTCAAATAATAAAAAAATTGCCACAGAAGGTGACAATGGGCTCCAAATTTCACCGTGCCATGACGTCCTCACGACGTGATTGCAAGCACAAGAGTAGTCACATGGGAGTAGAGATTATTTACTTATTTTGAATTGACAAAAAATGAGATATACTTGATGAACAGAATTAAGAAAGGAAAATACTCACATCTCAACTTCATCTTTTGTACAATAATTCTAAAGTAAAATCAATACTAATATTTTCTTACAATTAGAGCTTTGTCTTTTTTTGATTAAGAGTGAATTATTTCTCTCTTAATAAGATATATGCATATTAGAGGCTATAGATTATCTACTTCTAAACTAATATTCTTCTTAGAATTTTCTTAATTCTTGAGTCCTTTGTTTTATTTATTTTGAGTGATATTAGATGACTTCTTTTTTTATTGTATTATTATAATAGATGTTATTAAAATAAATAATACAATTACATAGTTACAAGAACAAATGAAAGAGCTAATGCTTGTTATGCATCAACTCAACTACCATCACAAGGAGTAGTAAGATTGATTAAAAGTGAAGATATAAAGATGATTGGAACTATTTCAACATCTATATCAAATTATATTACTTTTTTTATTGATAGAGCATTGTTCAAGTATCAAAGAAATAAGATATGCCTTATTTAAGAAGTTTGATGGCACAAAACAAAAATTTTGAGGATTTATTAATCAAGTATAAGTAATGATTGAGCTTCAACCTCAAATTTATCCAATTCTAGGATCACAAGTCAAGTTTATTAGAATAATATTTTTAGATTTTATTTAATCATATTCTTATCTTTTTTAAATAATATGATTTAAAATTAGATAATTTAAAGATTTTTTTGGAAAATTTTGATCCATATATAAAAAATATGATACAATTTGTGTTACAACCATTAAGATTGATATTTTGTATCAATGTAATTATTTAATAATATTCAATGTTATTAGATTTCTATCTTATCTAATCATTTTAGATTAATTATAGCCATAAAAATATAATCTTCAAATAGATTGAATTTCTTGTAGTCTTAATTTTTCAAAGTCTAACAAAGATTTTTAATAATCAATTAAAAAATTATAAGTCTAATATAACCAAATCTTTATTTATAAATATGAGAGCTTTTATGCATGTTACAAAAAAAATAGTACTTTTTGTTATTTATACTAGATCTATTTCAGATGGTCAAAAGACTTTAAGTGGCATTCTAATCTTATATAAAGATTATTAAGATATTTTTTAATAGAAAGTTATAGATGTTCTTTTGAAGCACTGTCCTTGTAATTGATCTTCAAGAAAGAATTCAACTGCCATTTAGATCAATCTATAGCTTATCACACAATGAATTGGCTAAAGACAAAGAATATATTGACAAACACTTGGCCAAGTATTTCAAATGCCATTCAAAATTCCTATCAAAAGCACTTAATTTGTTTGTAAAGAAAAAAATAGATTATTATATATATATCTATAAATTATTGAGAACTCAATAAGATTACTATAATAAATAGGTACCTTTTATCTTTAATATTAAGTTTTTTTGATCAATTGAATTAAGCCAATATCTGTACAAAAATATATCTACATAGAATATAGAATTTTGTACTTATTAAAGAAAGAAATAAATGATAGATCACGTTTTAAATCAAATATGGATATTTTGAATATAATAGCATATTATTTAGATTCATAGATGTCTCAATTAATTTTTATAAATAATATTTTTTGAGAGTCTTTAGTTGATTGTATTTTTTATTATTCAAATAAATTTTTTATCTATTTTTAGAATATAAAAGAGTATGAAGTTCATATTTGTTGCATATTATAAAATCTTAAATATGAAAGACTATATGCAAAGATAAAAAAAATTATATTTTACATAATTCAAGTTTATTATTTATGATATATTATTTCAAATGATGGCTTTATAATAGATTTTAAAAAGCTTCAAGTTATTATAAATTGAAAGATTCTAAGAACAATAAAAGTTGTTTAATAATTTTTAGAATTTTTCAATTACTATCAAATCATTATATAAAACTTTTCTTTTGTTTTAGATCTATTTAAATATTTGACTAATAAAGACTAACTTCAGTAGAACAAAAAAATTGAAGCAACATTTTAAGCTTTAAATTTTTTTATTTTATTTTTGCACTAATCTTGTATTGTATTGATTTTTCTAATGCAATTTTTTTATAGAAACATATGCATCAAACTTTATCTTAGATATAATATTATTATAAATGATAACAAATGACAAACTTCACATAGGGGCTTTTCATTTAGGAAAAATTTCACTAGCTAAGGTAAACCATAAGATCCATGATAAAGAGTTCTTTGGAATTGTGGATTCATTTAAAAAATGGCTCTATTATCTAAAATGTACTTAAATTTTTTATACAATCATGTAATTGTTTTTTAAGATCAAAACTCCTTGTCATTGACCATATGGACTTCTCTAATTATTATCTATACCAAAAAAACCATAGTCATTTATTTTTATGGATTTTATTACAAATCTTTCAATCTCAATTTTTTATGAATCAATATTTGTGATAGTAGATTATTTCACTAAGATAGCTTATTTTCTATTTTATGAAAAATCTATCATAAGTGAAGAAGCTACTAAATTTTTTATTGATAATATTTATTAATATTATGGATTATCAAAGAATATTATATCAAATAAAAAGATTCAATTTTTATTTGAATTTTAAGATTTTTTTTTTAAATATTAAAGATAGATTAAAAACTATCTTTGACTTTCAATCTTCAAACTAATAGACAAATAAAAACAAGTACATTAAGTATTAGAGTAATATCTTAGATACACCATTAACTACCATAAAGATGGTTACACACCTCTTTTGCCATTAATAAAGTTTTTTTTAATAATATTATTTATCTATTTAATAATTACTATTATATTCTAATTATGATTATCATCTATAATTTGATACTTCTAATTTCTTAAAAGTTTATAATTATGCAACAACAAATTTGAAAAATTGTTCATAAGAGCTATATACAATATTAAAGGTATAATTAAAAGAAGCTTATAAAAGACATACGATCAATGCAAGTACATATTATAAAGAACAACTTCAATTATAAGTTCACAATAAGGTATGGTTACTTTATTGTAATATTAAAACTATTTGCTTACATAATAAGTTGGATTGCTATTTTCATATAATATGTTATCTTGCTTGAAAATGCTCTACATATTTAGCTATAGAAGGTAAATTGGAAATTGTAATAATAAAGGTCCTAAAAATTCTAATATAATCCTAAATATATTCTAATTAAATCTTAATTAATTCTTAAGAAATCTTTAAAAAATTATAAAAAAGAATCATAAAAAATATTAAGAAGTTTTAGAGAAATTTTTTAAAAATCCTTTTATTATTAAAAATATAAATATTAAATAAATGATAAAATTATTTTAAAATATTAAAAATATAATTTTGAAATAAATATTAAATAAATCCTAATCAAATCCTAACATAGCTTTAAAAAAGTCCTAAATAAATTTCTATGGTTATTTTAAAATTCCAATAATTATTAATTGAATCATATATTTTAACTATTTTTATTTTTATTTTTATTTTTTTTTACATTTTAAACTTTAAGAAAACAACAAGTATATAAAGTTTGATAAAAATCAAACATATGAATTGAGAGAAAGAGCTCCAAATACTCTTGCATGTGGGCCATCCTCCTTCTCCAACCAAGATGTTGATCTTCTAGTAGCAATTATTCTTTGTTGAATAGTTCAATTTTTAGAAGTGTAGATATCAAAGCTTAATTTTCTTTTATAAAGTTTTGCTTCAATCAAACAAGAAAATTTCTTAAGATCATAGAAAATCTCATTAATCCTTAAATTCAAAATTTTGAAATCCTAATCCAACCAAATTTCTATATCATTTAATGTAACCATTCAATTGATATCAAATTTACAAATAATATTTTAAAGAAGTACATTGACAAATCTACAATATTTCACCTATATATTTGTCACAATACCTACAAACCTCTCAAATACATGAACTTCTTTTTATTTCTCAAAATCAAAAATTACTAAATATAATTTTATTTTAAAAAGCTCTTAATAATTCAACATGCATCTGCGAGTCACACAATTGTAGGTCTCTCCCCCCTTCTTTTTTTTTTTTGTTTTTTTTGTAGTGCGGAAGCTCCGCATTTTCGGAAAGCACTAGAGTGGTTTCCTGCTCTTCTATTTTTTCTAGTACAAGTTGGATCTCTGAAATTTTTGGGGCGTTCTCCTTGGTCGATCGTGTTGCAGCGGCTGCACTATGGTCAAGTTTTTTCTTGTTCTGTTTTCCCTTGCTCCTAGTTGCTGCAAGTGGAAGATCCGAGAGAAGTTTTTTTCTTCTTCCTCCTTGTTCTCTGTTCCACTGGTGGCGGAGTTGTAGAGGTCGTGGCGGTTGGTTAACGGCAAATGTTAGTCCTTGGTTTTGGGTTGCTGATCGTTGTTTTTCTTGGCGCTATGGTAATACAGTTCCCTGTGCTTTGTGTTTTGTGTTGGAGGGGTATTTTCATTGGGGCACGGTGGCTGTAGTCGCGGTCACCATTTGACTTCGTTTTTTTTTCGTTGTAGGGTGGTTCCAATCTGAGGCTGTAGAGAAGCTGGTGGTTAGACGACATGCGGCGGTGTTACATTTGCTCATCCAGGTTTTGTCATTTCTGGTCTTCAATTGGCGACGGCAGCGAGCTCGTGGTGAAGTCTTCCTCAAGCGGGGGTTGTGACGTTTTTTATTGGGTTCTCTCACTGCGAGGAGTGGTTCCATATTCGTTTTTCTCCTCAGCATTGGTTCTGGTCGCTGTGGAACAACGGCTGGTCTTCCCTTGTGGCAAAAGGTTTGGTGGCGCCGACTGTCAACAGCTTCGGAGTCCAAATCGTTTAATCATCCGAAGCGTTTTCTGCCCATTTGGAGCTTGGCACCGTTGTTGGCAGTCAGAATCAAGAGCAGTCATCTTCATTGTCTCTGTAGAGCACGAACCGGATCTGGGCTCTGCCATCGTCAAACATTCATCTATCGGCTTTGTTTTTTTTTTTCTTAAGTCTGGATTTGCTTGAATTGGTGACCTGCGACATTTGCTCTACATGTTGCAGTGCCCTGATTACCGTCGTAGGGAAGGAGTCGGAATGTTGGAGCAGATCCGAGGTTGACAGGATTGTGTAAGTGTGACTATTGATGCTAGGGGTTCGAAAGAGTGAACAATTTGGATCATTAATCGTTGACGAGCAATTTCATAATCTTGCAGCTAGACAACGGCAGATGTTTCAACCATTAACACTTTACTTTATCATCTGTTAGATTATCTTGTGTTTGATCATCGTGCTGCGCATCATAATGTCGACATTGATATTGGGTACTCTTGTTGCACTATGATAACTTCTAGAGTTTGACACGTTGCTTACATCTCCAGATTTGCATAGACACGGCAGAGGCGAGTCCACAAGTAGAACATCGTAGACCACGGCAATTTCTTTTTTTGTCCTGCCGCCATCTTTTATAGGGTGTTATCTTGGAGCAATTGGTCAATGGCTGTGGTGTTGGTGTTTTTTTTCCCTCTTCATTGCATTCTTGCTTGTGTGCTTGAGAATGCTTTGAGAACCTAGCTATGGAAGGTAAGTAATAGAATCTTTAATATAATCCTAATTAAAATCCTAATTAAAATCCTAATTAAATTTTAATTAAATCCTAAGTCAAATCTTAAATCAAATCCTAATTGAAATCTTAATTGAATCTTAACTAAATCCTTGGTCAAGCCTTATTGAAATCCTAATGAAATCTTAAATCCTAGATAAATCCTAAATAAGTTTTAAACAAATCCTAAATAAATGCTAATATTAATCAAACTTTAGATCAAATCTTAAACCAAATCCTAATCAAATCCTAGATCTTAGACAAACTCTTAACAAATTGTTATAGCAAATGGAATCTTAATAATTAATAATCAAACTATTAATATCAACTCAAAATTTATACTTCTTGATATCTTAATTACAAACAAGTATAAGAAAGATGAAATTAGTTGCACTTACTAATTGAGAGAAATGCAAAATAATTAAATCATATATAAAGTGGCCTCTTACTTCAATCTAAATGCTAAACTTCTAATGCCAATATCTCCTTGAATTATTGAATTGCTCCCAAATTTCATCTAAAATGTTAAAAAATAAGTCTAATATCTACTTTAAAAAATTTCAATTCAATCCAATGAATAGATTGCTAAAGATCTTAGAAATACTCATTGACCTTTAAACTCCAATTTCTAAGACATCAACTTACAATAACCTTTACACACTTTGATCTAATTGTTTAATTGGCTTTAAAATTTACATACATATTTACAACTAGCATACGAATATAATATCTAAAATTCGTCTATACACATATCATAGAACTGAAGAAATCCTCAAATTTTTAAACGTATTTTTATTTCTCAAAATCTAAACCAACCACAAACATCATTAATTTTGAAAATCCCTCAAAATCTCAATATTGATTCAAATAATATGAAATCAATGCATAAAACTTTCTCATCTAATTTGCTATCAAATCCCATTCTTTGATCTACCAAAGAACTCTAGAATCACTATAGGTGTGTGATTTTGTACTTTGGAGTTTGATTTTGATCCAAGTTGATAACCAATCCTCTCCAGATATCAATTTTTGATATTTTGAGATAAATTTTTCTTTAACATATTTTTTAATTCTTTCTTAAATATATGTATATATATATATATATATATATATATATATATATATATCTATCAAATTCTTATCTTATTTACTTTGATTTGGCTCATTTATGCCTCTACAAAGTAAATAGAAGTTCCTTTTATATCAAGGTAGCATTAAGACTAAATTTTTTACTACCTTTTTATTATTTATTCTTATTTTTCTACTATATCTTTTTACTAGGATCTTCTATAATTACATCTATATTTTTATTTTTTACTATATAGTTGTGTTACCACATAACAATGTGGTTCTTAAATTTGTGACAAAATTAAGATAGAAGTAGAATTATCATGTATCAAGGAACTCAAAGTTTAGAGGCAAAGAATTGACTCCTTCACAACCAAATTTGGTTGAAAGTTCATGGTGGCAAAAATCCAAAACTGAAGTCAAAATTTTGGAGCTTATTGTCATTGGAATTTAAATATTAGACACAAGATCTTCTTGAACTTTTTTTTTATCTTGCTTAGTCTAGTATAAGATTAGTTAGTGGTATAAGCTTATTGCATGAGCAATAGCAATTTGTATAGTATAGCTCATTATATAGGTAGTTTGAGGTACTATCAAAGAACTTTGTCAACCAATAAGTATAAGAAAAGATGGCAATGTTTGATCAATAAGGCTTATCAATCAAATACTATTTTTTTGAGTATTATACAACAATTACTATAGTAGTAGGTGCAATCAATCAAATTCTCCTGCAACCATTTTAGATCTTTTTGCATAAGAACATCCACATCTAGTATAAGTCTAAACTAAATTCTGTGAGTTCTTCTTATTAGACTGTAATATGTTTTAATATAGAAAATTTCAAGTTATTTTATTATAAGCAAACTCAATAAAAAATTAAATAACAATTTGAAATTAAAAGTTATTTATTTAACTGTTGAGTCTTTATTCATTTGAGCTTTGATTTGTTTTTTTTGCTAGCAGATTCAAGGTTCTCTATGAATAAAGATATGTTGAATTTCTTAGATTTAATACAACAATGCATCTATGTAACTATAAACATATCATTCAACTTATTATAATTTTTAATCTACCTAATTCCTTGAAAAATTAATTTTTTGGCTCTTTTACTTGAAACCTACTTAATGTCATGAACATACACAAGTAAGTCAATTATTACCTATATAAATAGGTAGAAGTAAGTAAAAGTAGATAAAAGTAAGTTAATTCTGTAATATCTTCTATAGAAGCATTCTAAAAGCTTTATAGACGTTGCTTTGACTTTATAGGTGTCTATAATTGATTTTTTGGATTAAAAAAGTAGTCAACAAGTTGGCCATATGCTACACATGTTGTTAGCTTGAAGACCAAGCTAACTATGTGGCCCACACATAAAAAAACTTGCCTTATAAGTCAAGGCATGTATCCTACAAAGTCAACATATATTAGAGGTCCTATAGAACATCACCACATAGCCTCTAATTAAATAATACATATAGAGAAAAAAGTGAGGCCCTCTTCACTTTTATCAATTCCTTTCTTACTTCTAGTCTAGTTCCAAGAATCTCAAGTTTTCTTGTCTTTTGGCAATAAGCCATTCTAGTTTCTTTTAAATACACGTACTTCCTTATTTCTATTTTGTTACTCTTTCTTTCACACAAATTTCATTAATTTATGCATCATCTTTTGGTTCATGTCTTTGACAGATTCATAAGAATGCACTTGTGATATCAAAGCTTTGTCTTGTCTTGATTAAGAGTGTATTACCCCTTTCTTATCATAAAACATAAGCATATTAGAAGTTATGGATTATCCTCTTCTAAATTGATATTATTCTTAGCATTTTTTTTCTCCTCAAGTCATTTTTTTTTACTTGTCTTAAGTGGTACTAGATATTTTTTTCAGTGTTATTATGGTAGAGCTTGTTGAAATGAAGTGTGCAATGGCACAAATACAAGAGCAATTGAGGGAGTTGATGCTTGAAATGCATCAACTTATCTTATCACCACAAATATCAACAAGAATGGCAGAAAGTGAAGATATAGAGATGATTAGAGCTGCTTCAATATTTGTACCAAATCATGTCCTTCCACTCATGATAGAACAACCTTCAAGTATTAGAGAACCAAGAGTTTCTTTGCCTAAGAAGTTTGATGGTATAAGATCCAAATTTTGAGGATTTATTAATCAAATACAACTTGTAATTGAACTTCAATCTCAAAACTATCCAATTCTAGGATCACAAGTTAGATTCATTGGTACACTTCTTTCAGGTTCAACACTATTATGATTTTCATCTTTTCTTGAACAACGAGATTCAATATTAAATAATTTAGAGGTATTTTTGGTAAAATTCCAATCTATGTATGAAAAACATGATGCAACTCGTGTTGCAACCAACAAGATTCGTATTTTTCAACAAGGCAATCGATCTATAATGTTATATGCTTCACAGTTTTGATAACTTGCAACTCATATCAAGTGGAATGATGCTACTCTTATTAGCCAATTTTTCTATGGATTACAATATGAAGTAAAGAAGTTGATGCTCAACTTACCTAATCCTCAAATATTGAATCAAGCAATTGACTTTGCTATGAAATGTGATAATCAACTTTTTGAATTTTGATCTAAGAGTCATACAAATGAACTTCAATGTTATTACAATTTGATGGCAACACCAACATCTCCTCAATACATACATTGAGAAGTAGAGGATATGCAAATTGATGTGGTACATTTTAAACCTTTTATCAAGCAAAAAAAGACTTGTCACCATCAAGAAGGATTATGCTTATATTGTAGAGATCCTAAATACATTTCTCAATATTGTCCAAAGAAGTGACGAAATCACAAAATGAAGAGCACATCTATCAAAGAAGATAATTTGTTGGAAAATGAAATTTTCCAACTATAATAGGGACTGTGCGGCTAGAATCTTGTATAATTTTTAATGAAGGTCTTATCTTCTCCTCAAAACCCTCTCCTTATTTTATAATAGATGTGCATTTAAGACTTAATAATTATACAGTCTCCGCCTTGATATATCTAGAAGGCTCAACTTTTTTCTTAGACATAGAATTTATTAAAAGTCATAAAGTACCGTTAGTACACAAAATCAAACCTATTCATGTAGAAGTCATAAATAGTCGTGCGTTGTCTTTTGGAGATGTTACTCATAAAATACTTCCTATAGATGTAGCAATAAATGATTATAGTAGTTGCGTAAACTTTAATATAATTATATCTTCCTCTAATCTAGTCATTTTAGGTTTATCATGGTTAAAAAAATATAATCCTTGCATAAATTGGATTTTTCATATCCTTGACTTTTTTAAAAGCATAATTAAGAGTGAAATTAATCTAGTAGAAAGTTATAAGTTTAGTATAATTAAACCTATATTTGTAGGTGCAAGAACTTTCTTGCATGCTACAAAAGAAGGATCACCTTATATCATTTATGGCACACTTGTTTCTAATGATGCAAAGATTTTGAGTAGCATTCCCAGCCAATATTAAGAATTCTAAGATGTATTTTAGAAGAAGAATGTGGATACTCTTTTAGAACATCATCCTTATGACTATTGAATTGATCTTCAAGAAAGAGCACAATTGGCATTTGGACCAATCTATAGTTTA